GCCCGCTCAGAGATGTGTATAAGAGACAGAATAATCATAGCATTAAAATCATCCTTTGCCATGGTAATAATAAATGTTAGTACACCATCGTTATTATTTACGAGCATATTAGAATCATTTATTGTGGACTCATTTACTGTTGATTCATTTCTGTTGATGCTCGATGCCTCTGAGATATGTGTATTATTGCAATGTGTTGGCTGATAAGAAGAGACAGGGAGACGGTCAGTTAATTTATCTCTTATGTTATATCTATTGCACGAAACTATTGTATACAAAGATGATGGCGTTACTTTATTATCTAATTCTTTTGCTATTGTTATCCAAATAGCGTCGTTTTTAGAAATAATTTTTTGACCGTCTTCTATTAAGCGATCATTTCTTGATAAGTTTGTCGATTAGGATATCCTTATCTATTTTTCCTGGTGTTCCGCGTGCAGGCATGTTGATAATTGTTTTTTTACACTGTTAAACTCGACACTATTATCACAATATATTTTCAAAAATAAAAAGTAAATAAAAAAAAGAACAAAAACAATAAACACAGAAATCACCAAATTCATTATACAAACGATAGGAAACGCGAATAAACCGTGTTAACCTTACGAACACCGCACAATCCCAAACAGCACAAGGACGTCCTAAGGACGTCCCCAGGGCGTCCAGGACGGGATTTGAGGACGTTATTAGAATGTCCTATTTTCATCCAGGGATGTCCCGAGGACGTCCTGTGGTATAGCAAATGCCCACACATCACGTGGACGTCCTTCGGACGTCCGATGTGTGTCCTCAAATGTCCTATTTATGTCCCCGTATTTCGGACGTCCTCGGGATGTCCAAAAGTCATATTTTGGATGTCCAGCTATATATATATATACTCGAATTTGATCGAGACAGAATTAATAAGTGGAATAATGCATTAATTCATTAATTATAATTGCCTTTAAAAACGCATCCAAAAATTATTGCACCAATAATAATTTCCGAATATATATTGTTAACGCTCTTGAAAGAGCCAAGGATATGCATAGAATTTTTTTTCGTATTAATCGAGTGGACTGTATTAAATGATTATTACAAACTTTTATTCCTCAACGTGGATACAAAATTACTCGCATGCGTACAGCTCGACGGTTCCGACGGTACAGCTCCGAAAGACAGA